AATATTAATAATATAACTAATCTTCCAAAATCAACAGACGCCTCACTGATTTTCTTCGCAAGGATTCGGAAAAAAGATAGATTTGTTGTCGTCAACGAGCGTTGTCTACGCGATTTATTTAGATATTTATTTTTTATATTAGATAATACTCTAGTTTTTCTAATGTGTGCGATGAATGTAAAATGGAAGACTATTTCGATGCAATTCTATCGCACACTCTGAAGAATTATTAGCCGCAGACTGCAAACGAGTCACTCTATACGCTTCTACTAATCGTCGTCGAATATCTTAGTGCGAAGTAACCAAGAGAGCATTTGAGCAGTGGTCTAGTATATCAGGATAAGTTCAACCGAAACGTCTTGTAAAGTTTCTGCACAATTTCCCTCGGTTTGGTTATATAGACTTGTTCCCAATCGCGTGACTCGTTCTGGTGCTATACATGACCGCTAGACACGCCCGGTAATAGTCTCCTTGTCGCTAAGTTGTAGATAGGTTCGCGCTATGTCGCTAAAATTGCAACGCTAACCCGGACTCGTAGTATCTAAGACTTTCCTAGGCACGCGAAATCGCCAGTAAACGAAGAACAAATGTCATCGCAAGCCATAACAATAGCCGCGAATGTGCATTTTAATGTTACAAACGACGAGGCACAAGTGTCGAAAGTGATAGAATGAGAGAAAAAAAATTTCTGAAAAGTACTCTTCTTCTCAGTTCTTTCATAATGTTGCTTCTGATTAATAAATATTTTTTAGACGTTAAACTGTCAAACATTTCACACCATTCCTAAATATTCGCTTTCTGATTTTTGAAAACATACCAAAATTGACAATTTTAAACCCTTGACCTTTCTACAATTAAGAAAAATATCTAAAAATTAGTAAATATTTAACTGATGGGTACACTAAAAAAAATAACATATGTACTAAATCTATTTTCTTTTATTTAAATAGAATAAATAATAGCTTTCTAGAAAAACTCAGATTTTCTAGATTTACTAAAGTTTTAAGAAGAGATATATTTTCTTCTTTGTGGAAAAATATTTAATATAAATAAACATGCTGTTATAATGTGTGTATTCACCAAATAAAGATGTACTATTTCTTAGATATTTTTCCTCAGTATACTCAGTTAATTATGATTTGCAGGCCGACTTTCAAAAAATCGAGTACTATGTATTTGATAGTATTAATAGATTTTCGCGATACTAAACAGGAAACAAGTAAAAATATCGCTATTGTTCCGGAGTTAAGCAAAACCTCACTCGGGTTCCGTCGTCCTCCAAACGAAGACGACGCTTCGGATGCTCGTTTCCGACTACATGAGACGACCGGCGCCGCGGGTTCGTTATGCACATCGAACGCTGGTATTTGCGCTGCGGTATCGCGAATGAGTTTGCGGAATTGCGACACAAACACTCGCGCGAGACGTACGAGACGCCATAGATTGCCGACGCCGCTTAGCACCGGTCCTACGTAGTAAGACGTGTATAAGTACGTAGGATATCTGTTGCCAGCATATCCAATACGAGGTCGCTGTCCTATTTCCCGGGAACGACGAGACGGTTATCGGCTGGTCGTGAGTGGGGCCAACCAACTCGTGGACACCAATTTTACGATAACGAACCGCATGAATATAGATAGGAAATTGGAGCGTGTGTCGGCGCGAAGAGCGATCATTCACGCCCGGCTTCTTTAATAATTTAAGAATAATTCACCGTTTCTCCGCGGCAAATTTATATCAAGTCTCTGACTACGGCCTGCTTTATTCGCGGATCCTTCAACGAGGAGTTTTTTGTGATAACGTGCTGAAAGAAAACCATGTGAAATTTGTCACAGTTATCATTCAACCCACAAAATTGATTTTTGAGTTTTTGTTAACAATGGGTAGTCCATAAAATATCTTTACATAAGATCCATGTTTAATACGACAATTAAAGCTAATTAAAAAAAGAAGTCTTTATCATTTACTAGTTGCGTCTTTTTACACATTTTTAAAAGGTTAAGTTAAATGATATACTCTTAAAAATACTCTTAAAATACTCTTAAAAAGAAAAAAAATTGACTCTGCTTGATTGATTGAACGATTGCGAAGATTCAGTGCTATCTATACATTTTGAATCGTATATCAAATTCCTATTTTCATTTTTCTCGATACGTATTTCATGTAGGTTGGATCATTCATGCGTAACTACAGCCAATTCATATTTAGCTTCAGAAATTGGGTTGCAGTAGAAAATGCTTGGATTCTTTTTAGAACTCAGACTTTGTGCCAAGTTACAAGTTAGCGAACAAAATGATCTATGCACGGAAAAAAAAGATTTGGTTGAATTAACCAAATATCTGGTCAAATATGAACGATCCAGAAATTCCGATTGAAGTAACCCGAATTCTGTTTAAGTTAACAAGATTTTTGGCAGACTAACCAAACATGTCTGGTTATTTAACCAAACATGTCTGCGAATTCAATAAACACTTAACTGTGTTAACCATTTGCTTTTCAGAAAATATTATGTAACCGCGCAAAATTCAGTGTATTTTTGATACGTCGATATTTTCGCAGTAATGGGATGTCTTAGTACGATAATAAATATCGAACATTATTTTTGATCGTTTTAAGATATACCCATTACTGTAAGGATATCGAAGAATGATAAATTCGTTTTCCAATCTTAATTATGGCGTAACGACATTGGGTACAGCGATAAGAACATCCGCCGTTCAGATGCGCGATGATATATTGGGAAATTAACGTTAACACACACGTAACTAATCGTAAGCGTGGCGCATTCAACAAATATGGGGATTACGAGTGAATTACGTTAAGTGCGAAGGTAAGAGAAGGATATTATACCGATATGGCCTCCGAAGTGCATACAAAGCAGGGCGTTATAGCCCTTCGAGCGCTGAATGTGGTAAGTACAATCAAAGCGGCGAAAGGGATTCCGATATAGATAGCCGACGCATGAGGTTGAAAGCCTCATCGGACGACAACGTTCATCAGCGCGCTGACTGAAATGCTCGCAAACATAACAGGTAGAGGGATCCTCCTGTCGACAATCATGCTCGGCTGAAGCTAGTTTACGTTAGCCCGGTTTCAGATTAATGTCGTAATAGACACTCAAAGCCAAGCTCTCGAGACAATCGCGTTGTGCCGCACGTTACGCGTAAAAAGGGAAATAGTTGGACGAATGAGAAGTATAAGACGAGAATTTCTCACGATACCGTCACGATAATTGACGAATTTTTTCGGTGCAATGCTTTCATTACGATTTACTATTACGATATGCCGATATTACTTTCTATCTCGTGCGTTGAAATAAATCAAGGAAAATATACGAAATATACAATAATAAGATAGTTTGCTAATGAATACTTCTATTATTGTATATTATTTGATTATTTTATTATTAAGTTGCGATAGCGTGATTCCGACTGAAATATCGGTATAGTAAAACTTAGATGCTTTCTGCATCAGAAACTCTTGCATTCGAATTAATATTTCGATTAAAAACTTGTCGCGCGCTCTGCGTAGTTACATTTAGAGTATGAGTCTACCGAGGAGAGGACTTCTCAACGAGAGCTTCATTTTCCGTGAAACGAGATTACGCGGCGCGGATGGAAGTTGCATTTCTACAGTTATATCAAAACAGCGAATCATCCATGCGGTTCTATTATTGTAAACTATTCCGCCCTCGCGCCGTTCTCATAACTACCTCTTATACGCACGGAACTCCCGCTTTTACACAGTGAGCAACATTCAACTTTCACGAGGCTTCAGCGATCGTTAGCTTTGTCAAACTTTACACTGCCTATCTCCTTCATTAACCGTTCTCAGAGTTATATAAAGTTAGTGTCACCCTTTCCGTCGCGGCGTTTTCCCTTACGATATCAGACTCTTTAGTTGCTCACGCGTCGTTAAGTTTTATAACGTTTCAATCGGCCAAAAATACTTTAACTCTTCTCATGTGTCCGTTTGCCATGTCATTTCCGTGTTATCGCACCGGGAATGCGAACGTATACACACGCGCATAAAAACTGTTCATGGTATAAAGCTTAATATAGTGTGTCGTAAAAGACATCTCTCGAAACTTTATTAGAAACTTCATAAGGAAGTTTAAAAAACGTGTTAAAAATTGTAACAACATTATAGGTCGAAAAGTGCAAGATGTTAACTACGTTAAATACGTCAACTCATATTACGATATACATTGAGAAAAAATCTAACAAATAAGAAATATTTATTCGATGGATATTAATAACTCACACCAATATATATGTGATGTGTGTGTGTATACTTTGCGCAAAAATTTCTTTCAAATGAGAAAATATATATTTTCCTAAAACACCTTTCACGAAAACAATTCTTTATCCTATTTAAACGAAAGAATTTAGATTTAAATATCAGTGTGCTACATAAATATCATTCATTTTTTAGATTTCTTTTTCTCAATGTATAAAAGAAACCTTTGACACTGTTTTTCCGAGATCATATACGATATTTTAAATTCTTCACGAAATAAAGCTGTTTTCAGCTGTGAATCTCGTGTCTCTTATTTTGACGCAACGACATTTACATCGACAATCCTGAACGAGCGGAAGAAAAGGACATTTGCAATATTTTACAAAGCGCATGGTGAACCTTAAGAGAGTAACGTATACGTGTAATTGGAAGTGCGCAATGCCATTATATGTCCGATAATCTACGACGAGCGGGGAAGTGAGAGATCAAAGGTTAAAGACGCAACGCACGGTACGACTCGTATTCGCGAGGAGTTCGTGAAATTAGAACCTTTTGGGGTTCTTGAATCCCCAAGGGAATGTGGACAAGGCCGCGATCCTACGGCATTCCTTCTACGCAGCCGCGATCGTCCGCAATTCATTTCAATTCCCGTGCGGGATATCGACGATATATACTCGTATTTCTGGACCGACGGCATTTTATACGTACGTACCCAACCTACCAACCAACCCACCCACCTACCCATCTACCTATCTACTCACCGTGGAAAGGCGGTTGCCGGTAATGCGATTCCACGTCGGGACGAGAGTCGAGTTCTGCTTGCCTCCAGATATACGCATTCCTTGCTCGCCGCTTCCACGACGCGCTGCAGTAAGGCGTCGGCACCAGGCGACCGGATAATGCTGTATAAGAAGCGGCTCGTTTGGAAATGTAATATAACCGAGACATCGGAGCGGGAATGCGTCTCTACGTGCGCACGAACACACGAGATAGAGTTGTCGTCGTAGTCGTCGTCTCTAAGTAAATGAAAATTGAATTCGCGGCATAGACTTCGCGCGAGTCTCCCTCTCTCTCCTTCTCTCTCTCTCTGACAGTCGCACCGAACTACCGCCTAAGATTCAGTGTGTCGCGAATCTCTCGCATCATTTAACATTTCTCTTTCTCTCTAATTATCACCGAATTTCTAATTTGTAATACATAAATCCGACAATCACCCAATTCTATTACTACTTGAACGAGTCGAACAATAACTAATGTGACATACGCCGACATGTCGCGACAAACACCGATAATATATAGTGAAAACGAGGATACTCTCTAATAAAGGTACTTACGTTACATCCCGACGATCACTATTCTCATACACATCGCTATTCTCGACACTCCCGATACTTATTTACGCGTGAGACTCACTTTCGATTAGATAAGACATATAAAAGGCGGAGACGATGTCGATCAATATGTTAATGGCGGTGGCTTGATGCGGAAAGATCGAGAATGCCCGCGCAATGCATGATGGACGCTATAAATGCGCGCAAAAACATGTCGCGCGGTTTGACAAGGACGCCCTGAAGTAAATACATCTCTCTCTGTCACTCTTACCTACAAGCCGACTCTATCGCCTGAGATTCGCGCATTTCTAGCGTCGTTCTTTTTTTTCACTAATTACCATCAAATTTTTAATTCGTGCTTTATAAATCTGCCAGACGTCCAATTCTATTACCACTTGAACGACTCGGATAATAACGAAAGCGACAGGCGCCAAGTCGACACGTCGTGACAAGCACCGGCAGTATACAATAAGAAAGGGGTAGATTATTCTCTAATAAGGTACTTACGTTACATCCCGACGATTGCACATCGCTATTCTCGACCACTCCCGATACTTATTTCCGCACGAGGCTCGCTTTCGACAGGTCCAAGACACGTGCAACGCGGAGCGATGTCGATCGATGTGTCGACGGCGGTTGCTGGAAGCAAAAAGATCGAAATTCTCAAGATGGCCGCACAATTGATAATGTACGTGAATGCGCGCTAAAACGTGAACGATGCCACGAGTCGACAAAGATGCACTCTAGCGGATATACCCTTCTCTCTCTTACTAACAGCACGACGCTACCTCTCGATTCAACGTCGTGAATATCCCTCATTTTATCTTCCTCCTTCCCTCTGATTTTCATCGAATTTCTAATTTCGACTGGTAAATCCGACGCAGTTCTACTAACGCTTGAGTGAATCGAAGATAATAATGAGAGTGATAAACACGCGCCGATTCGACACGACGCGACAAGCACGGGTTACAGAGTCGAGAAACGAGATTATTCGCTACTCACATATTTACGATACATCCTGACGATCGCACGTCACTGTTTGGGCACTCCCGATTACTTATTCGCGCGCGAGACTTACTTTCGACTCGCCTAAAGATCCGTCAAACACAGAGATGTGAATTGAAGTGTTAATAGCAACTACTCAATCTGCAAAAAGATCGAAGATTACCACGTAATTGGAGTATACGTGTGTAGTCCGAAGCCATCTGCGATATACACTTCTCTCTCTTTCCTATCTTTCCCTTTTTCTCTTTTGCTAACCTAACTAATACTACCGTCCAAGATTCGACGACGAGTATATCTCTGGCGCGTTTCATGTCTGTCTATTCACCTACTCTTACCTGCTATATTTCTAATTCCCGATTAATAAATCTGACGATCGTCTGATTCTGTGACTGCTCGAGCGAGGAAGATAATATGAGCGACAGACGCCGACTCGTAACGCGACGCGACAAGCACGGTTTGCACGTATCCAGAAGTGGAGATCACTCGCTACTTACGCACTGAGATGTACTCGCTGCTTACGTTTTGCACACGTCTCGACGATCGCACATCGATATGTTTCGGCACTCGCAATACTTGTTTTCCTACAGGATGCACTCTCGACGTGTAAAAGACGCGTGAAACGCGGAGAAATGTTGATCGATACAATCGATAACGTACGCCAATAGTTAGCGCTGTGTGCAAGCACTGTCGCGCTGCTACAACGACGATCTCTGTAGGCTCGCCCCGCAGTTACATTACCATTTGATATCGGCAGTTACTGAACATTATCGACCAGCTATATTCGTTTTTAGCTACTATGTATTTCTCATACGTAAATGACAAATAATCTTCTCGCTAATGCAACCGTTGTGTCGAGTCGGTGTTTATTACTGTCATTAGAGAGTTTTTGCAATTCCGTATTTTAGATACGGTAAACGCTAAAGTCATGTGACTTCATACTGTATTCCGTTTTTATGTCGCCTACTTCAAAAGAATTTTTGCACTGTAAACGTATGATAAAACGTACGCTACGATAACATACGATAAAACAGTATCCTACACGATCTGCAATCGTTCTTCATTTTTCACTCTCTTTTCATGGATTTTAGGATATAATCTCCCTTAAAAGTATGAGATCATCTTGACTTGTGAATCTCAATCGTTCAGATTTCATTTTGGTAGCCATAACGTCGACATTACTCGTGAATGCTATTTTTCAGAAATAACGTTCGCACGTTATCTGAATAGCGTCAAAGTGACCGATGCGCATGCGCAGTTTGGTCTTTTGACTCGATGACGTCATTTTGGCGTTTACCGTATCTATACCGTATGTTTGCAAAAACTCCTTATTGAGTGCTTTCCAGCTACGTTACATTGAGTATACAAAACTAGTTTATTAGTCCCATATTATTTAAAATATTTTAATATAAGATAATATAGTAAGATAATATGCAACCAATAAACTGATTTTGTGTAACACAGAGTATGGTCCAGCGGGCGCTGCAAATGCTTTGTAGCGTTTTTATTTCATTCTCTTTCTTCATTCGAATCCGAGGAATAGAATAAGAGGGAGAAACGCTGCGCAGCATTTGTAGCGGTTGTTGGACCACACCCACAATGTACGTAGCTGGAAAACACCCATTATTATCTTCGAGTTACTCACGTAGTAATAAAATCGCACGATCGTCATATTAATCGGAAATTAGGTGATAATCAGATGGAAAAAGAAGGATAAACACACGCGATGTCGAATCTCGGCTGGTCTGTTAACAAGAGCCAACGAGAGAAAGGGATATCCCACAGATGGCGTTCTTGCGAGACTGCGACGCCGTACACCCCAATTTCGCGGCAATCGTCGATCTTTTTGTATTGAGCTACCGTCATTAACACATCGATCTACATCGCTCCGCGTTTCACGTTTCTTTAATCCCGTTGAAAGTGAGTCTCGCGCGGAAACAAGTATCGGGAGTGCCGAAATAGCGATATGCGATCGTCGAGACGCATCGTAAGTACGTAAGTAGCAAATAATCTTTTCGTTTTTCGATATTGCAATCCGTACTTCACGTCGTGTCGAGTCAACGCGTCTGTCACTCTCGGTATTATCGTCGACACACTTAAGCGATAACAGAATCGCACGATCGTCAGATTTATTGATGAGGAATTAAAAGTGATAATCAGAGGAAAAGAGAAAAAGATGACGCCGGCGATATTCGAGACACCGATTCTCGGGAGGTAGCATCGGTCTGTTAGCAAGAGAGAAAAAGAAAAAGGGTGTCTCACAAAGTGCGTTTTTGTCGTACCGTAGTTATCATTTACGTTTCGACATGAATTGTCCATTATGCATTGCGCGGACACCGTCGATGTTTTTGAGTCGAGTAGTTGATCATTAATACGTCGATTAATATCGCTCCGCGTTTTACGTGTTCTTTATCTATCAAAAATGAGTTTTGTATGGAAATAAGTATCGGGAGTGCTAAAATAGTGCAATGATCGAGAGATACTATAAGTACATAAATAGCGAATAATCTTGTTTCTCGTTATATACTATCGAGTAGTGTCGTGTATACTTGACTTAAACTTGCCATCGACTCACTCGAATAATAATATTATAATTATACAATAATGCCTGCGCGAATAACGCAAAACTGAATATTGCTTCTATAAAATATTTATTCTCAAGAAGGTGCACTGAATCGAAGTTTTTAATCTTCGTCATCGTATTTTTTTCCCATGACGTCGTCTTGCTCTTTTTTGTTACCTCGCGCGTCAATCGTCGCGACGATCGCGCATTTGGAATATTGAGAGTCAGTAGCTGTGTATTCGTTCTAGTTTAATTCATTATAACTTAAACAAAAATGTTTCAATATAATAATTATGGAGAGAGAGAGAAAATGCGTGAAACAATATACTATTTCCATCACTCGCTAAAGGGAGCACCGGAGAGAGAATGTCGGCGATATTATTAATAAGCTCTCTCGGAGACGCGACAAATTTTTCGCAGGATGACTTATTCTGAATAATACGAGATACAAGCTCCGTTGCATCGCGATACCTCAGACACACGCCGACGTCACTGCGTATAATAAAACGCGCATTTCCATGTAAATTCACTCTTGCGGGAGTAATTCAGCGCATTGTCACGTTGATGCCGTAATTAGCACTTAATTTGATTTGGTTTATTTGAGCTGGGGAGAGAGGAGGGGAGGATGAAGTTAACGACAAGAGAGCTCCATAACGAAATGACTGACGGGGCGCGTGCATTGTTGGAGACTGTGGCATAGCAAAGGGAAGACCAGACTTGATTGACGGCGGTTCAGGGCACGGTAGCGTGTTAATTTGAGGGATGACCACATCTACAAGAGCTCCACTGTGAATTGAGCTATGGTGGCAAGCATATCTCGCGCACGATAGCTTTATTCGTGGTATTCCCGGACGCGCGACTCGTCGAATAATAATTCTCGCTGCGTGTCCAAGCGCCCGGGTTTTCTTCTCCTTCCTCCTCTTCCTCTCTCTCCTTTTTTTCATTTTTTGCCACAGGATGCGTTACGTAGATTACCATATATTTCTGTTTCATCTCGAGGACCCGGTTCACTTACACTACGTTGTCCGCGACTATCAATAAAATTCGGACGGCAATACGACACCGCCGGATGATTCAACGCTTTCATTTTTCTGGATTATTTATCGTGCGCGACAGCGCCGAATCGAATTGCGGTTGAAGCAATTTGCGTGATAAACGTTGAGATTTTAGGTATTGTGCCCGTAGCGAATATTATCGCAAACAGAGTCGTATTGTTGGAGGGACGCACGCGAAAAAAAACAAACCGACGTCCGATTCGTCGGCTCTTTTTTGACAAAGTGAAATAGCTCGCGGGCGGGAAATACGTTGCATCAGGTGTTCGCGAAATGCTAACCGGATATCTAGGACTAGTTACCATGGCTATCTGCGCAAACACAGCACGGTCATGCACAGCATGGAAATTTTATATTACAAAATTCTACGACTATGCGAAAGAGTAAAATATCTCATATAAATGTAAATATTCGGGAAAACAAGCGGAAAAATTACATTGGCAGCTGGATTCACAAGATGTATTATCATTAAATTATTATAGAATTATTTATATAAATACATAATATGTCTTAAAAACACTAATATATTAAATGTACAGACGCGTAAAGAACATCATGTGGATTTTTCCGTAGATACGAGACGCATTCCACGATGTTCCGGACAACAAGTGGCCGCGCTATCAACATTGTATTACGATGCCGGCAGCATGGCGTTCCGCGTGCCGCGGGTAGTACTATCAGGATTGTACATAATAATCCACGGTACCGGTAGTGGACCGCGCACGTTGCTAACCCACTTTACATACATTGTACCTATAGACTCTGGCTTAATTACAACGCGAGGTAACGAGTATATAGGCCGATCCCCTCCGCGTCCTGCTCCTAAAATTGTCGATATCTGTCGATGACCTCCACCGTGTGCACCCGTTTAACTAAAAGGGGCAGTCCAAAATTGCGCAGCGTGTACGGGTTTCTATGTAATTTTCCGGACATTCGATTAATTCTGCGCCGACTATTTTGGTGATTCTTTATGTCGCAGCGCTATTAAACGAGTCGGTATTAGACCGTAATGATTCTATCAC